TACAAATACAATTATGAGGACTACTTTCCCTTGCCACAGGACGACAATACTCCCTACTTCCAAATTAAACTGGCAGTTGGAATTTTCAGAAATTACTAAACATTTCTCACGAGCTAGAATGTCTTACTTCTGAACAGCCTTACCAATGTTAATTAATTTAAAAGTAGAATTATTAAATATATGACGATATAACGGTATATCTTAAATATATTATCCCAACCATATAATATGGACGAAGGCAAGCACTTAATTTTTATGAACAATTATTTAGAGATTGAAGATTTCTAGGCACTCCGCTCGGCCCGTGCCACGCCCGGGGCGACTTACTCGTTTTTCGCCTTGAAAATACTTTCAACGCAGCGAAACAAGTTCACTTTTATTTTAGCACTTTCCGGTTGTCTGTGTTTAATAATACAGACGTTAAATACTTTTGATTACCTCATTCTAATAAAACGCAATAAGAAAGAATACTTACTTAAAAATCATTACGTACTTAAAGCTTTAAAACAATATTCTCTATGATTTATAGGCTCTCTTAAAACCAATTACCGCATTTTTAATATTAGATAGCTTTACCTTACCCACTAGAATGAAATTCCTCGCTTTGATTAAGCTCCTGTCTGCGCTTCTTTTAATTTATGTAAAAACGGAAGTCAATATTCTAGTGCGATTAATAAACGTTACATGTGGCGTTTTTAAAAGTGGAAAAAAGCGTTCTATTTTTAAGGTCTTAACGGTGAAACTTCGAAACGTTTTCAAAATGCGTATTATAAATTGGTAGCTCTTCGTTTCAACATTCCAGGACCGCCTTCTTTTTTTTAATTCGGTCTTGTATTAAATTGCCAGTAATTTGTTTCTTTTTTATAATCCGTCTTTTGGAGCCTTATACTATAAACATTAGTTTATTCTGTGTCTAGACCATAGACAATCTGTATACTGTCTTCCTATTCCTAATATAATTTATCCAGATACGTTATAAAAAAGAAATATATTACTGGCAATTTAATACAAGACCGAATAAAAAAAACAATTAACCTAATCTATCTGGATAGATTATATTATAAGAGACAGAAAAAGGATCTCAGTGTAATTACAGAACGTAAAATTATCGTACCTTATTAGTTATTACCTGCGCTGTCACTTTTATAATTAGAATTTTATAGAAATTGTACCGCAACAAACCTTTTAACGGCGAGATTTTAATCACTGAACAGCTAACGTTTAAGTTTGTTGTCGAAACCTCGAGAGGGCGTGGTCGCATGATGGATGCCTGTGCCTGTGCTAAGATTGAATGTCGTACGACTCAAGACCATTACACGAGTACAAAATTAATAACAAGCGTAACGCAAAACACGCCTTATTTACATTTAAATAGAGTGGTTAAAGCCGTAAGTTTAACTTTGCGAAATTAACTTTTGTTCTGACTGGTCCATTTGGTGAAGGAAAACGTTAGAATATTTAAACTGAATATTAATGAAGGAAGTAGTTTTTGACGACTAATTAAACGGGTGAAACATGTATTCTTATTTCAAAATTATATGTCATTTATCCTACTTTTTGATTTGGTTGCAATACCGTAAAAACTTTTTTGACAACAAATTACTGTAGTAAATATAAAGATCAAAATATTACTTCGTAATCAATTTTTTCTGGTCCCTAATAAAGATGTAAATTATTTTTTGTTGATCGTACAATATATTACTCTATGGTTTCATTAAAAAGTTTCATTTCCTGTACATGCATACGATTGAGGCTGTATTGGTCAATACTAAACTATACTTACTACATACATAATATCTATCTAAGTACATATTGATATTATAAAACTGTATGAGGGCTTCATTAGAAATTAACATAAATAAATATAAGACGTAGAACAATTTTACTTAATTAAGTAATTAGTATACTTTATAACTTGTAATATGTTTACTAAGTTTATTTTTCTTGTTGTAGGTAAGCTGTCAGAAGAAACCGTCTGCTTCATGTTAGTCCATAGGAAGTTAATTAGCAAATAATACAAAAATGACATTTCGCTGTGTGCCATCATTTCAAACTGGTTCAAATGATAGCAGCGCCACCTGGGTAAGTACTGTAACTCTATCTCTCTGCGTTTGTATTGTCGATAGATTTGCTAAGCGTTGCAACTAGTTACCACTAGATGTCGTTAAAGTACTTAAAAATAACAAGTGACATTAATATGACTGTAGGAAATTAAACTACAATTACGTAAAGCATTAAATTTTACTTAAAACTAAAAGTTAATTCACAATTAATCGTTGAATTTAAGTTTTATCTGTATTTAGTATAACATCATTGTTTTAATATTTATTTAAAATAGCGCCCTCTTTCTTGTGTTATAGTAACATGAAACACCAACTTCTTGTTACATTTACTTAGCTAGTAATAGATGGCACTATTACAAAAATAAGGCACGCCTTAGAATTTGAGGAAAGATCATAAATGAGACATACGAATATTTAATTTTGATAATAACATGCGAGTCTCGAATGTATTATAATCAAGATCCGAGCAATTCGTTTTGCAATGAATTAGGTAAACGATTTTAATTTACAACAGGCTCGCAGTTTTACGCTCGAAACTTTGGTCTACTTTTATTCTTTACAATTCTAATCATAAACGAGTTACCACGTATACTTTGAAAAGCTTAAAAAGGAGCGCCTGAAAGAGTATCTTTTTTTGGGAGATGTTATATGGCTGGGTTATACATTGTCAGGCAGTTCATCCTACCATATAAACCGTATGCTTGTCTGTGCTCCTTTATCATAATTTTTATGATAAAGGAGCAGGTTTGTTTAATGACACACCTATCTTAACAATATAATTAAAAATAATAAGCACTTACCTTTTATACCCACATAATATACTCCAGATACCAACACCAGTGACTATGATGAGAAACATGTCAAAACACTGTCGACACCACTGTGGGTGTCAGTGTAGTGTCATTGACACCATATTATTGACACATTGTTGACATGTCAATATGCTATGAACCCGGGTCAATGAGTAGGAAGGCTTTTATTGAGTTAACCGACACTCAGGCGACGTACATTAAAAAAAACTTTAAATAAAACTGAAGTGTTCATTTCTTTGAACGCGCTTAGGAATTAGTGGCTCGAAGTGAAAAAATCTTGTCGTCTTGTATAGACCATTTGTCGAGTGAAAGAAAATTTTTCTTAAAACGATCTAAAAAAATTTCAGCGACAGCGTGCAAAAACCGTTTCAATGGAAAACGAATTTGGTGGAAATTAGTGCATTAATATCAATTATTTGTTAGAGATAAACAAAACAATGTTTGTCGGATCACCTAATGATTTTATTAAATCGAATATCTCGTTGCTACTTTTTACGACCATAGTTTTTCATCAATGCGTCTACAGCTTTTTTGCGATATTGAGCAGTTAGTTCTATGATAATTACCCCGATAAGTCAATTTGTATCACGCCAAAAAAACTTGAAAGTCGAAATTTAAATAATTATGTCCGCGGTCAGAAGAAATAAACTCACACACGAGCCGTGCAGTTGATCAGGGTTGCCAGAAGCTCTGCAATTTGTTTTTAACAATTTTAAAGTCCCTAACCCTAATAATAACAAAATCGGACGTAGTTCTAGAAATATCTAGTTTCATATTAAAACAACAGAGATGCGTTTATTTTCATGTTAATCAATTTTACATACACTTGACGTTTCTTTTGTTGTTGCACTCATGAACACTGTGGATACAAATCTTGGTTACCAATTACTATACCTTATTCAGAATTTCAACTTTAATGCGCATTAATTTCCATAATCTTATATGTATTAAACATTACCCATGGTTTATAAGTAGTTTCGATTACACATTACACTACATTTTCGTCACAAATTACGATATTTAACAATTACTGTGTAGACAGCCCTATAAGCACACACACATTTAAGTTTACAATCAAACTGGATGTATTAAGAAAGGAACAATGTTATAGATTCGCGACGCGGCCGCGAGAGTTGGAAGCTTTTTGTAGTATACGGAAAAATATAAGATGCTCTTGCTATTTCTTAGTAAAGAAATGTTTTCTTCCTATTGGAAAAGTAATGACTTTTTAAAACACAAAAAGAAATTAATAGTAAATTTAAATAAAACATTTTCTTTACGGGTTTTAATTTTGCTGTGTTTACGTAAGTTTGCGTTGAATAACTAATAATTTGTTTTTCAAACTCTTTTTACTATATTACGCGTAATGTGTTAAAAATGTTTATGCATGCCACGCTTGAATTAATAAATCAGTTTGTAGGTAAAGCCCAGTTACGCGAAGCTTTTGTTGCATACTACAGTTTTGCATATACTATGAAAATCCCCAACATTATCATGTCCAGAGGCGAGTGCGCACGCTGCGCCCACTCCATGTGATAGCCTCGAGCGACGCGCGCTCACGTGTCGCCTTACGCGGGAATTCAAATATAGAATTCTTTCTCCAAACTTTTTAAATTCTAACAGAAAAAAGTTTTTATTTCTGGTGTAGTGATTAAGTGATATCGCAGATTATTTTATTTTTTGGTAACTGCTAAATGGTATTACGTTTTCGATCTGTGCTTGCGCGATAAATTGGAAGCAATTTGAAATATCAATAACGGAGCCAGTAAACAATAACATCATTAGAGTGAACCAGCAATACGTAAGAGCGAGAGAACAATTCGGTAATCATGAAATAGATTTCTCATACGAAACGTAATGATACAATAATCGTGTAAAAGTTCACGATAGTTACTTGAGTTGGTATCGATTCGCCCGAGTTTAAAGAACCTCGTTTGCCAGTATATTAGATCCGAGGGAAGCTCATAAATTGGTGGTCAGATAAAACGGTCATCTCTCGAGATAATGATCTGATGATTTACGCTGTGTTAAACCGACAATAGAAGATAGTTATATACAATGTTACCAATTAGATTCGAACGATGACTAAATGAAAACGATGAAAATTAACGAATTCAATATTAACATGACGGAGCAGAATTTAGCTGTCGCCGACATTTGTTACGCTGATTTGATAAAAAAGAAACACGAACAGAAAATCGATAAAAACGGAAAAAACGATCTGAAAAGGCACGCGATTTCGATTGAGGTAATCGAAAAAGTACAATCGAACATCGATATAAGCATAGACAATGACACAGATAAAACGATACGTTTGGAGTTGAGAAATCCGGAAAATGAATGTATTGTAAAAAAATTTAAACTTAACGAAAAGTCTGATGATGCGGATAAGAATGTATTGTTGGATAACAGTGAACTATCGAAATATATTAAGGACAATGATAGTTTAATTATAAACGGTGAATGTGATACGAATGGAATTGAGTCTAGTATAGAGTATTTAAATGGAGATGGGGAAAAAGTAAGTAAAATGTTATCTTTAGTATTTTTCATATCAGTGAAATACGTCCTAAGTACGACTTTTGAAAGTTTACATAGATACAAAAAGTTTCATTGATAAATATACCAACATAATTTTGTAATTTAATGAAATAAAAAAAAATCCAATCGATCTGTAACACAAAAACAATGGTTGCTTTTTTTAATTGCGGTAACCCTCTATTGATCAATGCTTTACATTTTTAAAGATGTAATTTTAATAATATCTATTAGTATAGATAAGCCTTTCTAAAAGTATAAAAATTAACCCAAGTACACCACAGATTATATAGTACTTAATGCTACAAAGCCTTTTGCAATATAATTTACCTTTAATTCAGTCCTTGGTTACAATAAAACTATTGTCTAATCTGTAATATCTAAAAAACCGTTGCAATCGTGAATGTTAATTTTTGCGCTCCACAGCTTATTTCGTAACTTAGATGATAGATAAGAGATGGGTTACAAAGATAACACCATTGGACTTCACCTTTCCAAAGTTTACTAATCGGTCAAATATTCACGCTTTACCAGTTACAAAACGTTAAACTATCTCAGTTATTGCAATTTTTACATGAACATATAAATAAATAATTAAATAAAACATTTTTTTTCATATTCTAGCAATATTTAAATGTAACGTAATGTTGGGTAACATTACGTAGTAAAAATAACACCATAAAAACTTTAGTTTTCGATTCCTATTTACTATCGTTTTATTTTGACTTTTTAAACTATAGACACAGATTAGGTCAACCTTTTTAATTAGGTGTTATAGGTAGGTATACAAAAGTTTATTTTTCCTCAGAAAATGAGATAAGATAGATAAAAATAAGATAAGATCTATTAGTACGAACATATTATTATACTTGTTTCAGGTTCAAAAGTAGGTACTAAAAGTCATTTTTAAATTATGTAGGGTTTCCACTGTGTTTGATATACCTTAACTTATTTTTCATTAAATTATTATTTAATTCTAAAAGTATTTTGTCTCTTCATTAAGACCTCAAATTAATAGTACCTACGTATTACTAGTTTCAACCAGATAATTAGTATTTAAAATGTAATAAATATCACTTAAGTCTATTTAAATATCTAAGCTTAATTCTATAAGTATAACATGAGAGTAATAATGTCTCAATGACTAATGTTAGCGACCTAAAAATGAGCGCGAGTTTTGCAACGCTCTCGTGCGGGCGACATCAAGAAAACAATAACACGCACTGTCAATCTGTCAAAATCATTTGACAAACTGACAATAATTGTGAACACAGAATTGATTTATAATGTTACGGCCTGTTGTGCAATTATAATTCCACAGATTATATCATTATTTTTTTGTGAAAATTTATTATCTGTCAACAGAGTGTTTTTGAAGTTTTTATTGTAGCACACTAAAACAAAACAATTATTCGCATTAAAAATACAATTTCTCTTACTAAGGTGTGTTGTTTCAATAATAATAACACCTAAATATTATCAATAAAACACGATTTTTATAGCACATAATCTTAACGTGTTTATAAAGTCCCATATGTATCCGAAACGAAATAATATAAATAATTTAGTATCGATAAAGTTTAATCGTCAATGAAAGCTAATATAAGATAACATTACTTCTCTTGTTGGCAAATGAGGGAAGATTTTTTAAATATTTTTCAAGTATGAAAAAAATACTTAATTATATTCGAAATAATTCAATTAACCTAAGTAAGCGTAAGACAAAATTCAATATTCATAAACATAGATCAAAGACAAGTCGTTATAAAATAACAACAATAATAAAGAACAAGTTAACTCTCGAGTTTAAAGCAAATCTAAACATTACGTTTAACCACTGAGTCATGGAAGCAGTCGTGAGGCCTTGAAGCAGTAAGAACTGATTTTAATGGGTACTAAAGACATGGATAAGCACTCGGTGACAAAATAAATTCTTACTAAGCGCAATAAAATCCAACAAGAATGCATTCACAACTTTCACGAGTAAATAAGCTATTGAAGCAAGAATTCGATTAATTTGCGTCTTGTCGTTAATAAGGATATAGTCGTTTAGTTGCGACGATTTCTTTGATGTTTTACATTTTAAAGGAATCACTTTGAACGGTTTAAAATGCGTTTCTCAATTAATTTTTAACTACGACGTGATGTTTTGTATTCTTCACAGCAGCTGCCGTACCAAACGTAATATTGTAGACAATAAGTATTTATTACACATTTTCCTTATTTACTGTTTAATGGTTACAAAAAACTAGTTCGCGTATTTTTTCGCTTCGTTTCTTCGTAATATAGTAGTAAGAAATATGTATTTTAAATATATTTAATATAAATAATAATAAAATTTTCAATTAATGTTTAACTAAACAAAAAATCATATTACAGTATTACTAAATCAATCTAATAAGAGCAAGAAATGTAAACACTCAATTAAAACCGTAATTAACTGATTTATATACACTGTGGTCGTCTTTGAAGTGCATATTTTGTCCTTATTTGGCCCAAAGGTTACGCCGCTTCGGAGGCCCATTGACGAACGAATTTCTGATGGGAGAAAGCTGGGAAAAGACCTAATTGGTACTTACGAGACTATAATTATTATTATTATTATCTTAACGATTTTTGTTACTTTAATGTATAGCAATTGACAGTACAATATTGCGATTAACATAGATAACATCAAATATTAATTATAATGTAAAATTATCTGTTATTCGTTCTATAGTAAAAAAATAAGATTTAAGAATGGTTATATATTAGCTTTTGTGAACGTATTTGAGTTAGAAAAAAAATACAGATAAGACTCGAACCCGCTGACTGTCGTGACCCGGTAACTAAGAACGGCAACGACATGGTACAGTATTCATCGGTTGTCGGTCTCTCTTTATAAAATGTTAGCCAAAAAAATTTGTTGCGTATAAAAAAATGTTCAATAAGTAACGTTTTTGTTTATGATGAGGGAGGATAAACAACCATGGGGCTCCATTGCTGGTAGGTGAATAGCCATATTACCGTCTTAACAAGACGCGCAGTCGTCCTACTTTGCATTTAGATATTTACACTTTGAATACTGTTCACCTTTTATTTGAGAATAATAAATAAAGCATTATAAAAAGACGTAAAATAATAATTGAAATGTTGCAAAACAAACATACCTACCTATTAAGATTTTATCGGAACACAGCGTATAAAGAATTGACCGAATTCTTTACGCACCTGTGTGCCGTATATCCGGTTATCCCTTGTGCGCCATTTTGCTAATTAGGACGTTTTGGCGGGAAAGTTTGACATATTGATATTATTCAGGACTAGCTGTGTCAGCGACTTCGTCCACGTAGATTAGCTTTTGAGCATCTCAATCAGTCATAGCGTGATGTTATTATAGCCTTTCTTGATAAATGCTCTAACCAACACAAATATAATTTCCAATTAGAACCAGTAGTTCCTGAGATAAGCGAGTTCAAACAAACTAACTCTTCAGCTTTATTACTAATATATAAAGCTGAAGAGTTAGTTATAGATTTAAAATGTAGAACTACATTATCTTTGGTTCGCACTTGAAGTACAAGTAGTTAAAAAAGTGAAAGCCCGTTTCCCCCTCGTGGGGCATGGGGCCAACACATTTCTGTGTCCGTTTCACTGATCCGTTCTTCAACAAGCAAGTAGTTGATCAGACTTCTGTGCCCGGCCCGACCGAAACAATTTTATGTTCCTGGGATTCCAACCCAGGGCCTCTTGCGCTTAACGCAATGCTAGGCAATACGTTGAACCATTTGGCTACAGAGGCGGTCACACAAGTAGTTAGTATACATATATTGTTAGCATCCATAATAAGAAGCTAGAATAAAATAAGAAAATCACTTCAGTTTTCTTTTTTGTTGATATAAGCAATAAACACTATTGTGCAGAGACTAGTGTATTGTAAATAAGCTATTACTAAAGGTCAAAAACTGGTGGGCCTCAGCCGCCTACACACTCACGCCTATACTGTGTAGAAGCTTTCATAACAGTTTCTATACTTACTACGTGTTCTCGACACAAACTCGATCGAAGATTTTACTTCAAAAATTAAACATTTCGGTGACCTGTTTGATATAGTAATTGTTGAGTCTGGTTTGAGGCAGAAGACAAGTTTATATCTACATGTGTTTCACTGACAGATTAACAATTTCACAGGCATGTAGATAAATGATGTTTAATTAGGTACTAATGTGCTTGTGGGAGCTTTGGAGTCGTACAAACGTGTTCCCAGGGCTCCTTCGTAAGCAACGTAGAGGGCTGGTGGTTTGCTTAGGGCTTCTGATCAACGCGCGCCTCTGGTATCACCAGCTCGAACATAGAGACCATGATGCCACGTCACAACTGCCCGACGTGGGCGAGTATAATGAGACCATCAGTCAAAAATAGGTACAAGTGCTGCTTGAGACACTAATATTTCTTTTAACTTAAGTATAGCATTCACTTAATTCTTGCTCAATGATTTAACTATTGTTATTGATTTAATTTTAAACACCAGATTCTATTTTCAAAACCTTTCGAGAAACCTTGGTACGGGCTCCAACTTAATAAACTATCAGTCTAACAATAATACTGTTTCTGTGTCCTATTGTATTTTTTACGGCTAACCAAGTTTGATAGATAACAATATCTCATCAGGTCTGCTTACAAAGGAACGTACGATAGCAATCCGTCAAACTAATTTCTTTCATAGATAATGAATATGTGTATTTTTTTTGACTAACATATGATTTAGTAGGCATATATGTGGCTGTCAAAATATTTAAGCTAGTCTAAATAATTATTCCTTGATTAATACACGCTTTATTAACGAAGAATTAAATCACCTATACTTCTATACTGATATTATAAATGCGAAAGTAACTCTGTCTGTCTGTCCGGCGTTAACTCCGAAACTACTGAACTGATTTAAATGAAATTTAGATACAGATATTTTAGAGCCTGAGAAAGGACAGGCTATCTTTAATGCCA